TTTGTCAGCACCATACCCGTGCTCGTGGGTTTCACCAAAATGGTAAACGTCTGAGACCCGCATCACTTCGGGCTTTCCTCCCACATTAAGCTGACACACTGTGTTATAACTGGAATACTGTTCAAAGCGGCGTTAAACCGAACTCACTCACTATTACCGACAAATACATTAGTAACGTTCTTGTATTGCATGACGCTAAACAGCATACCATAACGCAAGCTTCTTGTCCCCATGACATCTGCGTGGCCGGGCTTAATATCAAATAAAACATCAGAGAAGGTGATCCTACAAGGAGTGCGGACTTTTGTTACTTGTGGGGTTTATACCACCATAACTTTATGATGATATTCTGTAAAATCAACTTATTCATGTTCTCCTTAGTCATGTAGATTGACAATATTTTTGTATATTTGTATGTGAAAGACACTGAACTGAAAAGTATTATTATTTTTTCAATTAATACAAATTTTCTTTGTATTCTGATTCTTACTTGTCCACTCAGAGTCGGCATGAATCGTGCTTGTGTGTGCGCGCGCGCGTCCGCGACTGATGCCGAATTTTTAGTGCTAGCCCACTGAGAAACCATTCCGCCGTTTAACGCGGATACCCGTCTCAGACACAGTATACTAACTCCGAGCCGACCAAGCCTTGTTTTAGTCCCTAATGACGAGCCGCAGGCAGGTTTACAACAAGTACCATCTTTTAACGTCTTTTGGCATGACGCGACCGGTGATCGAACCAATGACCTTCCGCTCTCCGCGCGGACGCTCTACCACGAGACCATGGCGGCTGTCTGTGTACTGGGGACCGCTCACATACACTACGCGAGATGGAGTAAGTGAGCCTAGGATTAACGCAGCATTTAACACAATTCATTATATCAAGGCGTGTCAGCTTAACGTGAGAGGAAAGAACGATGTGATGCAGGTCTCAGACGTTTACCCTATTGGTGAATCCCATGATCACGGGTATGGTGCTGACAAACCTGTAAACATAATTGGGACTAAACGAGACTCGAACCCATTATTATAGCTTTCTGTCGTGACTAAGGGACGCAACTCCACGAATTGCGGCGTTTTATTCGACTGGTACCCCGTGCCGCCTCTTCAAAAGAAGTTAAAGAACTTCCGATCTTTTCATATTACAATTATAGTTAATCTGTCATGGTTAACTTTTTTGAGCAGTTTATACATGAAAGGAAAAAAATATCCGGTCTCGGCTGTTTCTTGAGCGGTGCATCGGTGCATATCGTACGTGTTTTGTGAGAAACGTTTCCAACCCATTTGTTATCTGCATTTTGTTTACATTTCAACGCGGGGTATACGCCTTTTAACCTGTTGATGTTAATTTAATCAAGTAGGTTGTTTGATGTGCTTTCATGAAGGAGATATTACGCATCGCCACCTGCTTCACAACATTCTGATCAAGTTGACAATTTGTGTTTGTGATAATGACTGGCGTCACGAATGGTCTATTCACGCCTTCACTGCAGGCCGAGTGCATTCTAAAAGAACAGTTATCGAATATATGAATCATAGTCACGTCCATCATGTACCTTGTCAGTCAGCTCAAACTAAGCATTTTATGGGCGTTTCGGTGTAGACACGATATTCATGTACAGTTTTTAGTCTGTTTGTTTGTTCATTCATTTGTTGTTTAACGCCGCACTCAGCAATATTCCAGCTATATGACGGCGGTCTGTCAATAATCGATTATGGACCAGACAATCCAGTGATTGATATCATGAGCATCGATCCACGCAATTGGGATACAATGACATGCATTAACCAAGTCGGCGAGCCTGACCACCCGATCCCGTTAGTCGCCACTTACGACAATCGTGGGTTGCTGAGGACCAAAACTACCCCGGATGTTTACAGTCATGTGTTTCACACAATGAAGACGTGGGGTATGGAATCCGGCCATTAGGCAGGACGATCGAACGTTATAACGACAAACCGTTCCTACCGTCCCGCATGGAACGAAGGATCGACGACTATCGTTCTTAAGATGTGGGATGGGATGTTATTCATCTTTCCTACATTTGGATTATCAGCTCATTATAACTCCACGTGGTCTCATAAACGTCTTAAGTTCTATCCCACTGACTAAGCTAAAACTTTCCCATCCGTACATACAGTATATTAGCTTCCATACATCCTTGCATACGGTATATTATTTTCCATATATCCGTCCATACAGGACATTATCTTCTTGACACCTGCGCATACAAAATATTTTCTATACATCCGTGAATACAACATATTATCTTCTGTACATCCATGCATACAGCATATTATCTCCTACACGTCCATGCATACAGATTAATTTCCTCTACATCTGTGCATACAGTATATTATCTTCTATACATCCGTGCATACAGTATATTATCTTCTATACATCCGTGCATACAGTATATTATCTTCTCTACATCCGTGCATACAGTATATTATCTTCTATACATCCGTGCATACAGTATACTATCTTCTTTACATCAGTGCATACAGTATATTATCTTCTTTACATCAGTGCATACAGTATATTATCTTCTTTACATCCGTGCATACAGTATATTATCTTCTTTACATCCGTGCATACAGTATATATCTTCTTTACATCCGTGCATACAGTATATTATCTTCTTTACATCCGTGCAAAGTGTATTATCTTCTTTACATCAGTGCATACAGTATATTACCTTATATACATCCGTGCATACAGAATATAATCTTCTTTACATCCGTGCATACAGTATACTATCTTCTATACATCCGTGCATACAGTATATTATCTTCTATACATCCGTGCATACAGTATACTATCTTCTTTACATCAGTGCATACAGTATATTATCTTCTTTACATCAGTGCATACAGTATAGTATCTTCTCTACATCCGTGCATACAGTATATTATCTTCTTTACATCAGTGCATACAGTATATTACCTTATATACATCCGTGCATACAGAATATAATCTTCTTTACATCCGTGCATACAGTATACTATCTTCTATACATCCGTGCATACAGTATATTATCTTTTACACATCCGTGCATACAGTATATTATCTTCTTTACATCAGTGCATACAGTATATTATCTTCTTTACATCCGTGCATACAGTATATTATCTTCTTTACATCCGTGCATACAGTATATATCTTCTTTACATCCGTGCATACAGTATATTATCTTCTTTACATCCGTGCAAAGTGTATTATCTTCTATACATCCGTGCATACAGTATAATATCTTCTCTACATCCGTGCATACAGTATATTATCTTCTTTACATCAGTGCATACAGTATATTACCTTATATACATCCGTGCATACAGAATATAATCTTCTTTACATCCGTGCATACAGTATACTATCTTCTATACAACCGTGCATACAGTATATTATCTTTTACACATCCGTGCATACAGTATATTATCTTCTATACATCCGTGCATACAGTATATTATCTTCTTTACATCAGTGCATACAGTATATTATCTTCTCTACATCCGTGCATACAGTATATTATCTTCTTTACATCAGTGCATACAGTATATTACCTTATATACATCCGTGCATACAGAATATAATCTTCTTTACATCCGTGCATACAGTATACTATCTTCTATACATCAGTGCATACAGTATATTATCTTCTTTACATCCGTGCATACAGTATATTATCTTCTATACATCCGTGCATACAGTATATTATCTTCTTTACATCCGTGCATACAGTATATTATCTTCTATACATCCGTGCATACAGTATATTATCTTCTTTACATCAGTGCATACAGTATATTATCTTCTATACATCCGTGCATACAGTATATTATCTTCTTTACATCAGTGCATACAGTATATTATCTTCTATACATCCGTGCATACAGTATATTATCTTTTACACATCCGTGCATACAGTATATTATCTTCTTTACATCAGTGCATACAGTATATTATCTTCTTTACATCCGTGCATACAGTATATTATCTTCTATACATCCGTGCATACAGTATATTATCTTCTTTACATCAGTGCATACAGTATATTATCTTCTATACATCCGTGCATACAGTATATTATCTTCTTTACATCAGTGCATACAGTATATTATCTTCTATACATCCGTGCATACAGTATATTATCTTTTACACATCCGTGCATACAGTATATTATCTTCTTTACATCAGTGCATACAGTATATTATCTTCTATACATCCGTGCATACAGTATATTATCTTCTTTACATCTGTGCATACAGTATATTATCTTCTATACATCCGTGCATACAGTATATTATCTTCTTTACATCAGTGCATACAGTATATTATCTTCTTCACATCAGTGCATACAGTATACTATCTTCTATACATCCGTGCATACAGTATACTATCTTCTATACATCCGTGCATACAGTATATTATCTTTTACACATCCGTGCATACAGTATATTATCTTCTTTACATCAGTGCATACAGTATATTATCTTCTATACATCCGTGCATACAGTATATTATCTTCTTTACATCAGTGCATACAGTATATTATCTTCTATACATCAGTGCATACAGTATATTATCTTCTTTACATCAGTGCATACAGTATAATATCTTCTATACTCCTGCGAGTAGTCCATGAGAAGAATAGGTCGGCAGGACAACGTGCATATCGAAATTGTTTTGTTTGTCGGTTTATAACGCCCCGCTCAGCAATATGTCGACCTGTAAATTACCCAGTCTTGACCAACCAATCTAGTGATTGACATCATGAACTTCTATCTACACACTTTGGATAAGATGATATGCATCAACCAAAACAGCGGACCCGACCTACCGATGTCGCCTCCTACATCAAGCATGGGTTGCTGTAGACTAATCCTAAACACATCTTCACGGAGTAACAGTATATCAGTGATGATGGCTTCTCCACATCATTTCGCTAGAAATAACCAATTTAAAAACAACTCTCTTGTATTTAAAACAAAACCAACACAAAAAGTATGATCCATATATTCTATGAAATGACACATTCATCACAATGTCATGCCTGGATGCGGTTGATTGACGTAGGACTGTTCACGCAGGGCACCGGATTCTACATCTCTCCTCTGGGTGGGGTTCCGCCGCGGTTCACACATGTCTGGGTGGAGTCGGTACACGGTGGGTGGGTTGGGTTGGTGCGGGCGTGACGTCCTTGTCCTGTAGGCCAGGAGGACGAGGGCGAGGGCAATGAGGACGACGGCCCCGAGCAGACAGCCTACGAGGATGGTGAGCACGTAGGTGGTGCTGGCAAGGCTGCTTGGGGAGGAATCATCATCCTGCTGTAAGTCGTTCAGGTAGGCCACGCCGTATGGTCCACCTTCCGAATATTCTGAAAAACCAAAAAGTTGGAGCCAGGGGATGTGACGCATAATACAGCTATAGCTTGCACGGGAATTGGGCCTTGATTAGGAACGCTAGCTGGTGCGAACACCGTTTCAAGGCATCGATTACACAACATTCAAGGCGCTAAGTATTCAGGTACACGGTATTCTTTGCTTGTTTGTTGTTCAACACGAAGCAATATTCCAGCCATATTACGGCGATCTGTAAATAATCGAGTTTGGACCTGACAATCTAGTGATTGATGGCATGAGCATCGATCCACGCATTTGGGAAACGATTGCTTTCATGAACCAAGTCAGTGAGCCTGACCACCCGATCCCGTTAGTCGCCTCTTACGACAAGCATAATCGCCTCTTACGGCGAGCATGGGTTAGACCTATTCTAACCCGGGTCTTCAAGGAGGACACGATAAGGCGCCGAGTACACACTATTCAAGGCGTCGATTACACAACATTCAAGGTACCAAGTACACTATTCAAGTACACAATTTTAAAGGCACCGAGGGCACATAATTCCACACAATATTCAAGGCGGCGTGTACACAATAGTCAAGGGGCCAAATGGACAATATTCAAGGCGTCGAGTACACACTATTCAAGACATCAAACAAATACACTGACCTTCGCCTTTGTCAAGGGAAACTGGTGTAAACCCAATGCAGCGGAATGACCCCATGGTGTTGATGCAGATAGGAGTCCCTTTGTAGCTAGATATTGAACACAGGTTGTGTTCACACTCGTTGAAATCTGCCAATCAACAGAATAAAACTACACGACGAATTGATTCACAGACATCATAAACGTGACATGTTTTACACCATCTATATTCATATAGTCCATACTTTAACTTTTTCAAGAAATCTACATGTTTATGAGGCATAGGACGCTTTACGTTATATAACAAAGATGACTCATTTGGCTCGACCAGCTCTCAGGTTATTCTACTAGTTGATTTAGGTCTAATAATATACAAGAGAGTGGAGCACAGAGTGAGCTGGGTCTAAGAAGTGCAAATTAATAATACGTGGAAGTTTCATGATACTGGGGCTTGAGAACGGATTCAATTGTCTGAACATGACATTCGCTTGTCAAGACATACCAGGGTGCCGTTGTACAAAGCGAGCTTAGGTGAGCTGATCGTAACGCTCACATCCTAACATACAGTCTAACGGAAGTCGTAGCGCTGATATTGTTTCGTACAACGGTACCCTGCGCTTGTCGTTCAAAGTGAGTGAGTATGGTTTTACGACGCAATATTCCAGCACTATCACGGCGGGTGACACCGGGAATGGGTTTTAGCACATTGTACCGGGGTCTTCGGCCTGACGAGCGAACACTTTAACAACTGAGCTACCCGGCTCCCGGCGTGGAGCCATGAACTCAAGTGGTGAGGGTAAATACGGACTCGTGGACTACACCTACCTTCACAGTTTTTGCTGTTTGATGACAGATTGAAGCCTGGCCGGCAGCTGCAGACGAAGCCACCGACAGTGTTATTACATAACTGCTCGCATGGTCCGTACGCGACGCACTCGTTCACATCTTCAGCAGACAAAGAAGACAATTAAATTGAACTTGAAATATATGACTTTCTGAATTTCGAGTTACCTCGAGTCAACAATACTCCAGCTGTTTAAGTCATTGTGTACATTATCGAGAAAGGACAAAATATATCTAGTTATAAATATCACAAGTCAGCCAGTGTAACCACCTGATCCTCATTTCAGTCAAACGCTGGAAGCAAAGCCTGTCCTGGAATCCCTGTGCGTTGGCCGAATGCGTTTTCACTCGTATATCATCTCTTTAAAAGTTATAATTAATCTACTCTGCCCCTCAGAACTGATTACTGGTACTTAAAGTGCCAGTTTACCCACCCAAAAGCCGCAAGATTTGATGGAGATGGCTACCCTCAAATGTATCATCAGGTACATGTACCATCATGTTTTGGGTGAGTGAATGAGTTAGGTTCAACGCCGCTGTATTTAACAGTATTCCAGTTATATCACAACGTCATCACTTGTCGAGCTATGTATAATACTCAAAAGAAGTTAAGAAATACCCGATTCTTTCATATTACTGTTGTTAATTTGTCATACCATTCTTCTTCTTATTACAATGGCAAATTAACTACAGTAATATGAAAGAAAGGTTGTTCTTTATTAACATTTTTTGAGAAGTATATTACTTTGTAATTCTTATCACACAGGGAACGTACGTAGCGTTTCCAGCTTAGTCCAACACGACTATTCTATGTTAAAGTATGAGGATTACGATAGTCTCATTATTGAGATCATTTTGTGCGAGTGACTGAGTGAGCTTTAACGCCGCTTTTAACAGTATTTCAGTTATATCGCGACGTGTCAGCTTAATGTGGGAGGAAAGCCCGAAGTGATGCAGATCTCAGATGTTTACCACTTCGGTGAAACCCACGAGCACGGGTATGGTGCTGACAAACCTAGAAACATAATCGGCGAACCTGAATTCAAATCATAGGTTTCTGGCGTGCTAAAGTGACGCAACTCTGCACAGCGACTCGCGGTGCCTTAGACGACTGGGCCATCCGTGCCCTCCTTTTGTGCAAGTGGACCCTTGTATAGTGCAAGTGCATATATTGAAGGAAGCAACACAATGTATTTTTCTACCGTCACAGGTGCTGTTGTCGGCCGCCAGGCTGTAACCTTCGCGACAGCGACACTCATAACCGCCGCCGATGTTGACACAGAGATGCTGACACGAGGAGGTGTTGCAGTAGTCAGGATCTGGACGAAAATACACAAATGTGATCAATATAACATCAGGCTATGACTTCACAGTAGATTCAGATGGGACCATTGTGTTTCAATGAAAGGACGAACTTCACTCCTGACACAAATTTACCTTTAGGAACAGGTCACATTATTAAGACCAGATAAATATTTTAGGCCCATCTTTCCTTAAAAAGAGGTGAGGTGAGGTGGTATGACACGTCCAGTTCACAGATATTGCACGCATATAACGTGCGTATTCTTGTACTAGTCCGCATTTATGCCGGTTTAACATACACGTCGTGGATCACAAAGAATGGGCTTCACACATTCTAGACTTGTCTTCGGTGATCGCCAAACTCCGACACAATAACAAAATCAAAATATTTCAATCTCAGATGATTTTTTTATGCCACAAAACATGGGAAACATTTGGGAAACATATCTGAAGAAGACATATTTCGTTTCATTGACACAACATGTCTCAGTATGATTTTACGTCGCTTTTAGCAAATATTCCATTACCATAAGGGCAAGGGACACCGAACAATGGGCCCACACGGCATTTAAGGAATGAGTGAGTTGGGTTTTAAGCCACTTTTAGTTATATTCCAGCAATATCACGGCGGGGGACACCAGGAACGGGCTTAACACATTGTTCCCATGTGGGGAATCGAACCCGGGTCTTCGGCGTGACGAGCGAATGCTTTTACCACTAGGCTACCCACACTTATATACTTACATTCATAGAGTTTGCCTTGTGGTCCAGTAACACCTGTCATACCGGAAGGGCCTGGAAATACAAGTGTGTGAATGAGGGAGCGTGTGATTGATTGGTATGAGCCACAGTCAGTAACACTCCAGTTATTGAGTCTGGGCCAGCCAAACCAGTTCTTGATGGCACTAACAAGATCTGCGCAGTCGGAACGATAAACACTGCACGGTATATCCTACGCGCCCTCCGTAGCAGGTGTTTGTTGTTTAACGCCGCACTCAGCAATATTTTAACTATATGACGGTGGTCTGTAAATATGGAGCCTCGACAAAACAATCCAGTGATCGATATTATGAGCAAAGAAAATTGACATATTCAGTTTGGTCACCCATCACCCGAGGCATATTTCATTCGGGTTTTACGTCTTTTGTATATATATTACTCTTGCTGCTGCTCCTGTAACATAGTTGAAAATAACACATGCATCAGTAACATGCCTTATAGCAGGAATTGTGGTGTAAAATCGATTCCCGTGTCCATACCTTCTACGCCGGTACCGCCAGTCACTCCATCCCAGCCTCTGGGCCCACTCCATCCTGTGATTCCTGCATCGCCCTGGACCCCGCGCGGTCCCTCTTTCCCGGTGCTGCCGGTGTACCCAATCGCACCCGTCGCACCCCAAGGTCCTGTCTGTCCTGTCGTACCTTGGGGACCTGCAGACCCCGACACACCCGTGGCTCCGACTTGTCCCGATAGACCTGGTGGTCCTGCTTGTCCTTAATACAGAAGACCCACATGTAACTGACTCTTTGAGCTACAGCGGTAATATTTCAGATCGACGTGAATGTAAGCTGAATGTATTACTGAACACATACCTGCTACCCCAGTAGTTCCAGTGTCTCCTGCAGATCCCTGAAGTCCTGTCGTTCCTGATACTCCAGGAACTCCAGAGTCTCCCTGAGGTCCAGATCTCCCAGTCATTCCACCGACACCAGCTGGACCAGTTGTACCTGGGGATCCGGAGGATCCAGACATGCCAGTCAATCCAATTGGACCCGTAGAACCAGCGATCCCCGTGCTGCCAGACACTCCAGGTGGACCATCAGCTCCAGTGCCCCCAGTTGAGCCTGGTATTCCTGGTACACCATCCTTACCAGAAGTGCCATTCACACCAGGAATCCCATTTACTCCTGTGTCACCAGCCATTCCAGTTACACCTGTATTTCCAGGAGCTCCTGATCTACCAGTAACACCAGCAGGGCCTGCAGCACCTTGTAGACCAGTTGCTCCCGATGATCCATGAACTCCTGATGGGCCTACCAACCCCGTAGCTCCCTCTGGACCAACTTGTCCCGTTGCGCCAACATCGCCTGTTTTTCCTTGTATTCCTTGTTGACCAGTTGCTCCAATATAGCCTTTTAACCCAGTCATTCCCCAGGGACCCGGTAAACCAGACATCCCTATACTGCCCTGTGCACCAGTTTCGCCTTGTAGCCCTTGCATTCCAGTTGATCCATTCATTCCATCTACACCACGTGGGCCAGTGACACCCATTACACCTGGTGCTCCTGTCACTCCGGAGTTTCCAGTATATCCACTTGGTCCACCTGGACCAGTCGCGCCCATCTGGCCTGTAGAGCCGGTCATGCCATCAGAGCCCATTGGTCCGCTATATCCAGTCACACCAGGTGCACCAACCGAGCCATCTGAACCATTGAAGCCCCTATATCCTCTAATACCTTGGGGCCCAGTACCCCCAACCTCCCCTGTGACGCCAGGCAGTCCATCAGTACCTGGAGCGCCTGTTTGACCGCCTGCACCAGCAGGCCCTGTCACACCATCAGACCCTGTTCTTCCTGCTAACCCATCACTGCCGGACAGTCCTGACACACCATCAGCTCCTGTGGAACCTGCGGCACCCTGTGATCCCCTGGCACCTGGCACACCAGTGGCTCCAACACTCCCAGGTGATCCAGACATACCGACAGGACCAGCTACACCTGTCGTGCCTTGAGGACCAGCTGTGCCATTTTGTCCCTTGGGTCCAGCTTCACCAGATGCACCAGTAGCTCCAGAAGCTCCGATAGGACCGACTGGGCCATTGGTCCCAGTTGCTCCATCAGTGCCATTGACACCTGGCGCTCCATTCTTGCCCATTTCTCCACTCATTCCCGTGATGCCCGGCAAACCGTTGTTCCCAATCGGCCCCGTTTGTCCCGCCGGACCGGACAAGCCCGTGATACCTAAACACAGATGTATGTCAACGTTGACCAATTTATTTGGAAAGTATTACATAGTTCAGCCTTTCCCTGTAATTAGCATCCCTGTAACATATATTGACACCAAACCGAACTTTAATAGTTTTCAGTTTTCGTATATGATCCAATTCTAGCAAGTTCAGTTTCAAATTTAAAATCCGATAAATGACGTATTCAAATAATAATTAAAACAGATATATTTTGAACTATCTACATATAGTCTGCAACAGTATCGGATAAATCTAATACCACTGCGTTACCGGTGTGCCCAACAAGTCCTGCCATTCCTGTTCCTCCAGGTAAGCCTGTCTGTCCGGAGAGTCCTGTCATGCCAGGGTCCCCTTGAGGTCCTGTTCCTCCAGACATCCCTACTGCTCCTGGATCTCCCAGGATCCCTGTCATCCCCGACACACCAGCCTGCCCTGACTGGCCAGTAACTCCCACAGGACCAACATCCCCCTGGTTGCCCGTCACGCCAGTCTGTCCCAGCAAGCCCGGGGTCCCGTCTGTCCCCGGGGTACCTAAACATAGTTTACAATTGTGTAAATAGAAAATGTCAACGCAACGAGAATAACCGATCTCGATTATCCGAAGAAACAATAGCAGTGCATGTTATATGAAGGGATCACTGAAAATCAGTGTTCGAGGAAAGAATAACCACGTCAATTTGCACAAGTATGTGTTTGTTGTTGACACAGAGGCGTGTAAACAAACCACGCAACCATCTGATGAGAGTACGAGTGGTGAGTGGGTTAACGCATCTTGAACAGTATTCCAGTTATAACACGAGTGTGTGCAAGACGTGGCAGGAATTCCATAGGTGAAGCCGGTCTTGGACGTTAACTACCTACCACGATCATAGGCTTCTGGCATTGAATGATTTCAACCGACCCAAGTGAAAAACGACAGAATGGACTCTGATAAACAAAAACACCTCTGCATAAAGATCTGACAAAACCTCCATAATCAACCAGTTGAAAACGGCCATTCACGGTTCCAGTTCCAGGAATGAAAATAAAAATGGATAGGCAAATACATCTCGTGGTTTCTGAGATCGCATCTTCGAATTTCCAAACAGAGCTGGTACAGAAATGAAGCCGAAACGTTTACATCTGATTGGCTCAAGACATCACCTACCCTTAATTTAGATTTGAAGGTTTGTGAGGTCTTCTTGCAGAGCGGTATCATGTCGGAGTAAAAGATCTGACGCCAATGACATTTAGGCCACAGTCAGCAATATTTTCCAGCTGTATCGCAGCGGCAGATACACCCAGAATGGGACAGGAAAACCAATCGTTGACTGCATGAGCGACGATCCATGTTGTCAACACAATTGTAACCACCCGATACTCATTGGTCGAAAACACGAAGGCTTGTAACGCAAAATTAGCAGCTTCAAGACATATGGTCACAACCAGTACCAGTACTATATTAAAGGAATATTACCGACACTGGCGTGACCATACATGACGTAAATCTTCGCGTTACAGATGGTTTGTAATTGAGTACGTTCTCAATGATGATCACATTACCTGGTTGTCCCGAGTTTCCTGTAATGCCTGCTGGACCCGTCTTGCCATCGACCCCGTCCTGGCCGCTAGCTCCAGTAGCCCCACGGGCACCTGCAGGTCCCTGCTGACCAGTCTGTCCATCAGAGCCCGTCATACCCATAGGGCCTGTAGGGCCTGTTATCCCGGAGACCCCCACTGCCCCAGGAACACCAGACTGTCCGGATACACCGCCTGGACCAGTTGCACCCACATACCCGGTCATTCCTGGTGTGCCTGTAAAAAACATGTCTTGACGTGAAATCACATATTTGCTGACCGACTGATATACGTCTTGTCACATAAAACTTCTGGAAGGCCCTTTGGTTATTGTTCATACTGATGTCACTCGTATTAGGGAGGAGGTACTACCATATATATTTCGGATTTTCCTCCCCAGTGGATGACGTATGATGAAGAGGCCCAAAGCTTTAAATACTAGTAGTCAATGATATAAAGCGTTGATACCCGTATATCCCGTGGCTCCCGGCATCCCGTCTCCTCCCGAGGCCCCTGTTGTTCCTGCCTGCCCAGTGTTTCCCAAGGGACCGGTCGCGCCATCAGGACCGGTAACGCCAGACTCTCCCTGGCTCCCAGGCACCCCTGGAAACCCCGTACCCCCGGGGGAACCATGTGTACCTGTCGCACCCACGGGTCCGGTTACACCTGCATATGGGATTAAAGACTGTTTGGTATATTCAAAATGGGTGATGACGTTTGCATACATTACTTTAGATGATCCAGTATATCTTGATTATAATCCACAAAAGGGCCATGGCGCTACGATCAATCGTAAGTTTATATTAGATATAGTATTAGAGTATAGGGGTTACATCGTCGCTTTGTGATGACCTGATCTCACTGACCTGGAGTCCCGGACCGGCCAGTAGCACCAACAAATCCTTGTGGACCTCTGAACCCTGTCTCCCCTGCCGTACCCGGGGGGCCAGTAGAACCAGACGAACCAGATGAGCCTACAATCAGAAACTCGTCACTATAGATGGACACTGTTCATGGTGCTCGACGTTTAGTCTTGAGTATAAGGCATTGACTTTGTTAAAGATAAATGGCAGTAGGCCATTCTTGAAGATTTTCATCACAAACATCTTTTAATGGGACATTCTTCTATTATAATTTCAATACTAATTTTGAAAAGAATATCAAGGACATTCCGAGAAAATTAGCCAACTTGAAATGCTATTTCGATTAATTAGGGTTTGATTGATGATCCTGCACTGCAACTAAAACGAAGGATCAACGTGTGTGCAGCAATCTGAGAACATATACTATTGCTTCAAACGTTCTGAATATCACCTGCAGGTCCCCCTAGACCAGTTTGACCCCGCGGACCAGACTGTCCAGTTACTCCATCAGATCCCCTGTCACCCTGAAGACCCGTCCCTCCAGACACGCCAGGGAATCCCACAGGACCTAGCAAAGATAATGCACCAATAATGTAAAGCGAATAAAAACGTATTATTGATGTCTGATACATTTACCACCTCACCATCTATAAATACTCAACAATAAAAGTTCCCGTGACACCAATATTTTAGTGTATTTTTCAAACAAGTAAAATTTGGTTTTCAATATTGTAGTACATGTATGGAATCAAGTCACAAAAACGCAACTGCTACAGAAAAGCATGCATTCCATGCAAAAGTTGACTTTAATGCAAGCCCCATGCAATTCACTATCCAAGAATGGGTATAAAAATATGTGCGTTAACGGAATTCCATATGCATTGTTTAGCATCGTGCTGACAACAATCATCTCAGAAAAACAACAAAATTACGCAATTATTCAACATACGAAATGCCACGCCTGTCCGAAAATGAGCGTCTGCGAGCCATTGGTATGCTTGAAGCAGGATCGAGTCGACGTGATGCAAGACAATTTAACGTCCACATAAAACACAATTTGGTGTTTATGGCAACGTTGGCAACAGACGAATGCAGTCAGAGACCATCCTCGGAGTGGCAGGCCACGCGTAACCAATAATCGAGTGACTGCAAGAAGCATCCCTGGCCTTCGACGAATATCTTCACAAACCGTACGTCGTCGCCTCAGATGTGCAGGGATTGTCGCCAGAAGACCCGCCAGACGTCCCATTTTGACAGGAAACCACCGTCAAGCACGTCTACGTTTTCACTGACGAGTCTCGTTTTCACCTCAGCCACAGCGATGGACGGATTCGAGTGTACCGACGTCGAGGTGAACGTTACGTCAATCATTGTGTCATGGAAGCAGATCGGTTCGGGGGCGGCAGCGTTATGGTATGGGGTGGGATTACAGCAAGACAGAGGACCCGTTTGATAGTAGTAGAGGGAAATCTCAATTGACAGCGCTACCGCGACGAGATCATCGACCCTGTTGTTCTACCGTTTTTGCGTCGTCATGGCCCATGCATTACCTTTCAACATAACAACGCCCGGCCTCATATTGCAGGATTCTCTTCAACAAAACAACGTGAATGTCATCCCCTGGCCGGCTTGCTCCCCAGATCTCTCACCAATCGAGCACATGTGGGATGAGATGGATCGGCGCCTTCGACGTCAACCACGTGTTCCACAGACACTCCAGGAACTTCAAAACATGCTCCAGCACAGAACAGATATCCCACAGGACCTTGTGCGACACCTGGTCCATTCCATGAGACGAAGTTGTGTTGCTTGCATCGCAACCAGAGGTGGACACACACGCTATTGATTTGTAAATAGACATTTATAGGAGTCTTTTATCTGTTGCAAACCGAAATTGTTTCAGATTTGGTAAAAAACATAACTTTGCATTAAATCTTATTCAATGTCACAGGAACTTTTGTTGTTCAGTATATAAATAATCACATATACCAGTAAATAACCACCTATTATTCCGGGTATGCCCGTGTGGCCTGTGGGTCCAGGGCTCCCTTGCGTGCCGGTGGCTCCAACTTTCCCCGGGATACCAGACTCCCCTGTAGTCCCCGATCCTCCCTGTGTTCCTGGGGTCCCCGCGGGGCCTGGAGATCCCGTCATGCCTGGGTCTCCTTCAATCAACAAGGTTACGACAAAGCAATGATAAAATGTATGAACAAACTTCTTTGTTACAATTAGGAGCGACGTTTCGGTGTAGGTTCTTACACCATTATCAAGCAAGTGATATAAAGAGTATGGTTGACAAGTATATATACAGGTAGGAGGCAGTGTTATATTATATATTATATATAAGAGTAGATATCAGATGTAGTTACACTGGATCGGAGAAGGCCAATTGTAATAAAGAAGTTGTTCATCCATAAATCGTATTCTTACTTAGTACTCCAACTTTTAAATGCCTCTCAAAGAAGGTTACGACAAAGATGAACTCCAGAAAACACATGGCTATCAAATATTGTCACACATTCAGAATAGATACGTGTATACTATTTTGCCCCCATGACGAACGACAGTCCGATATGTACAAAGGGTGTACCTTGGATTCCAGGTGTCCCCGCGCGTCCGGTCAATCCTGCAGATCCTGGCAAGCCCCTGGTGCCCGTCATACCAGAATATCCCATTAGTCCTGTACTCCCTGGCATTCCTGGTACCCCGTCCTGGCCAGGCTCGCCAGAAGGCCCCTTTGCACCTTTGACATACAAGTCTTCTACGTTTAGGGATCGGCCATGTATATTATTCTCGGGGAGGGTTATCATAAATAAGAAAAATATTTGAGGAGGGTCATGAAAATAAAATTGTTATAAAAAAAGTGCTTTTGCATTTTGGGGTCTTTTTAGGGTGGGGCGTGAACACATAGGGAGGATCATTCGAAAAAATTACAAGCATTAGGGGATGGTCGTTTTTTTCAGAGCATTAGTGCATAAAAAAATTCTGATTAAATGTTTCTTTGAACGTTATTTCAGTTACAGCACAACATTCGATTTGATACAGCTTGATTTGGGAGGGGTGATGCAGATGTTAGACTTTGGCGAAACCCACCAGCATGGGTTTCAATCCAAGAAACCGACGATCGTTGTCGGGGATTCCAACCCCCCGATCATAGGATCTTGGCATGCCAAAGGGACGCAATTCTTCTCAACTCAGCATATGCAGTGGTACATAAACTTTGTTTTCGGGTATTTTCGGGTATTCATATCCACAGGGATAAAAGCTCAAACCTGTCACGCCCGTAACTCCTGCCATCCCTGTTTGCCCCGCGTCACCGCGCATCCCACGTGACCCTGGACTTCCGGTTTCGCCTCGTTCTCCTGGGGTACCAGTGCGTCCCTCGACACCGTCCTTCCCAGCTTTACCAACACTTGTGATGTTAGGAAAACACAAGAATGACAGATAATCATTGTGCGACAAAATTGTATCAGAGTACCGTTCAAGGACAAGCTATGTTAGCTATCTGCTACATTGGTGAGTAGATATATCATTGTGTGCTGCAGTCTGTTTGGAAAACGTTGTTAAATGGGATTCGAACCCGGAAATCGCCCGGATGTTTCACTGCGTACGAATGATTTTCTTGATAAGTATTTTATCTTCTCAATTCCAAATTGAGAAAGCATGGTTACCGCATTAATCTTGTATTTATTTTGATCATTATATTTCTGAACAAACTTAATTATTTTGTTCTCCGAATTCCACCAAACAAGTGAGTTCAGTTGTGTTGGCGGCATTTGACGTCATCCTTGTATCTCGACATCATAGCATTTACGTGTGAAGTCAGTATTCCAATTAGTTTCAGAGTCCTGCGCAAATTTACTGAGATTGTTCGTATTTATTTTATGTCGACAATAAATTACTTGTTTTCGGATTTGAAGCGCGTAAATATTTCACTGTTAAACTGTTCTATTAGTGGCATGGTTTAACGCCGGGCAACACCGGAAATGGGCTTCACACATTTTCTTCATATTTCCTCATGTGGGGAGTCGAACGCAGGTTTTCGGCGTGACGAGCAAACGCTTTAACCGCTAGCCTACCCAACGCCAATTTAAATTGAGGATGACATTGACAGGTGAAACACTGCACCACCAGCCTTGCAGCTATTCGAGGCGATTTAACGGAGGAACCTCTTCGCAGTACACAGTTGGCGGAACTGATGGCGGATTATGGAAAGTATTCAAATACTGTGTATGTACCCAATAACACCCAGGAAACCATTTCATATGGTGAGTCCTTTATTTTAGGAAACGTTTTTTTCCACAAATGCAAATTGGACGAAGTCACTGTGCAAAGCAACTCATTACAAGAACTCTTTAGTATCACGATCGTCATGGGCTACAGCACACGTTTCCAACAGGCACGTGCTGTGTTTAACTCCTTCAACTTAATGCGGTGACACTACGGTGCAACAGCTGGGCCTGTACCTAGCCACGGTTGGAACCCTGTACGGCACGTCTTCGACAGCCAGGGCGCAGATTCCAACTGAGACAACCACCAATGAGGAACATATGCGAAGTAAGTGCAGTACTCCATGAGGAATGGCAATACCTTAAACAACTGCTGTCACGACGTTTAGTGAGTGAGTATGGTTTTACGCCGCTTTCAGCAATATTCCAGCAATATCACGGCGGGGGACACCAGAAATAGGCTTCACACATTGTACCCATGTCGGGAATCGAACCCGGGTCTTCGGCGTGAAGAGCGAACGCTTTAACCACTAGGCTGCCAGACCGCCCCTGTCACGACGTTTAAGCGGTCATCCGTGCACTGTTCTCTGACGCTTTATTTAAGAGTGATTCTGGAAATTGTCCATTTTTGTGTAACTTCGGTACAAATCTGATCTCAAATGATTAATGTTATGAAAAATTTAGAAACTTCAATCTCAATTTTGCCGAGGTTAAATGGTACATTCATAGTAGTTTAATATGTACATTAACTATGTTTTGCACAATGTTTTGTCTTTATGTTCGCCATAAAATGATTCACCCCCTTCTCAAAGCACAAATACGTCCAGTAAGGTTTGGTGCTTAACTTGCTTCGAGGTGGATATTTCCAAATGACCATAACCGTATTTCAAATGGGCGTTTCACTCAGTAGACGTTATGTGATTGACACACCGATGGTTGGTTGGTTGGTTGGTTGGTTTGTTGTTTAACGTCGCACTCAGCAATATTCCAGCTATATGATGGCGGTCTGTAAATAATCGATTTTTTGTTTGTTTGTTGTTTAACGCCGCACTCAGCAATATTCCAGCTATATGACAGCGGTCTGTAATAATCGAGTCTGGGCCAGACAATCCAGTGATTGACATCATGAGCATCGCTCCACGCAATTGGGATCGATGACATGCATCAACCAAGTCAGCGAGCCTGACAACCCGAACCCGTTAGTCACCTCTTACGACAAGCATAGTCACCTTTTACGGCAAGCATGGGTTGCTGAAGACCTTTCTTCCCCGGAATCTTCACGGGTCTGAAAATAATCGAGTCTGGACCAGACAATGCAGTGATTAATATCAGGAGCATCGATCCACACAATTGGGATCGATGACATGCATCAACCAAGTCAGCGAGCCTGACCACCCGTTAGTCCCGTTAGTCGCCTCTTACGACAAGCATTGTCGCCTTTTACGGCAAGCATTGTCGCCTTTTACGGCAAGCATGGGTTCCTGAAGACCTATTCTAGCCCGGATCTTCACCGGTCGACACACACACCGATGGACAAACGGATGAATCATAAAAGGTCCGAGCTCCTTTGCGCAAACCACACCTATCGTGATCTGTACTAATAATTGCGGTCCTGTGCTTACCTTCCTGGGGAACCTGTCAGGCCCCGCGGCCCTTGTATCCCCTGGGGCCCAGAGGCTCCCGGCAGACCCACGTCACCTCTCTGCCCAGGACTGCCAGTGATGCCCTCCACGACAACATAAGATGTTTCTTGTAACAATTAATCGCATTTGATTTGAGGCGACTGATTATAGGAGAGAAAGGTTTAAGCATTTCTTGCATTGATTAAATTTACGGAAGAACTTTCTCAAAAGTGTTTAGGCAGTATGGATGTGGTCATTCGGCCCAAGATGCAGATAACCGACACAGCCGCCAGCCCTTACAGTGACTAACTTCTGTTTATGTATAGAAGGGTGTATATTTTTGTTTCAGGGTCACTACGCAAGTCATCATATGCAGTACAAATAAGTAAATAATATAATTTTCTAGACAGCCCTAAGATAACACTTTCCAAAATGAAGTTTTTCTTGGTATGTTTACAAATCTGCCAGGTTCTTTATTTTAGGGATGTGAACTGCATCTAATTAATGCCAAGGCAGTAAGAACTGTTTATAATTACTTGAGTAACCCGTACAAACCGTGGGGTCGGTGGCGAAATAGACTACTTAACCGATCACATAAAAACAAAATCTAATGTCAGTCTGATGGCAGAAATGATACATGAGAAGGTATTTGGTGAATCGAATGTAAACGAAATTCATTCCTTCTTTTAAGAACCTTTTTCGTTTTTATTACTGAAATAAAGTAACTGCTATGGCAGGAAACAAAAACTTTAATATTCTTTTTTTATTCCACATTGGTGGATCTGAAAACCAAACGATTAACAAAAGTCTCATGACACAATGTGTATGATTCACATGTCGAACATCCGTACCTGTGTACCTGCAGGTCCAGCTGCCCCACTGACACCCTTGTCCCCCTTCTGTCCAGTCGACCCCGTCAGCCCGGGGGGTCCGACCTGACCCGTAGCACCAATAGTCCCAGGGGACCCAGTAGAGCCGACAAGACCTATTGTTCAGGAACTCTCCAAGAACCTCAAACTATACACTCTTAAGGTAACAATCAACTTCATATTGTTTGACCAAGGTGACAATTTGGTACTCAATTTTTGACCTGTCTAATATCAATATCTCATGTAGTTAATATTTGGAATTTCTAAGTACAGATCTCAATGATAACCTACACCATAAAGAAGGTCATGATGAAGCTCCGACATAGCTGAATTTCAAATCTAAAGATTCTTCATACCATTTTAGCAAACTGACATTTGAATTTAAAATGATGCCTACGTACCGATATCCACATTGGCCTACACCTTAAAGAAGAAGGTCATGATGAAGTGTCACACGTGAAACTGTAAAGAGCCGAAATCAACTACGTAGTGCTGAAGCAAAATCACATTTTCAATTCACAAATCATCTGATATTAAGAAAGCCTTGTTTAGTATACCACGTACCGAGCTCTACAATGGCTTCCACCTTAAAGAAGTAGGTCTTGATGAAGCTCCGACTCCCGTATGTCTGCCCTACAACCAATGGGGCGGGGACATTGTTGACAACAATCGTTCCGCTCTCCTGGTCCGGGATGCTGTAGGAGATGGGGCCAGCGTCCTTGTCGTACCTCCATCCCAGGAACTCACCCTTGATGACTAACGGAGGCTCGGTCATGATGACCTGATTGTGACATCATAAACATGAGTAGGATTCGAGTAGGGAGAGGGTTCAAAACTCCATCGTAAAACATAGTACTTGCATCCCAAAACTATAACTTAAGCCATTCTAAACACCCACGGTGTAGAGCCGGGCTAAGATAGGTTTCTCACTTACTCACTCACTCACAAAACCGTCATACCAGTTCGGGTAGCGACGTCGACACATTCATGGTCCTCTGGAAGTGGAGACCAATTTACCAGCATCCTCTCAGGAAGGGAATAGTGTGTGTGTCTGTGCGTGCGTGCGATAGGAGGAGGAGCAAATCATGACTCCTTCGGATTTGTCTTAAGATATATTGTGTATTTATGTTTCTTGAACGCTTTAAATCGGAAAATATAAGTTTACTTATATTGATGTGAAATACTTACGCAATGTCTGCCCTGCGTCTTAGGAAAGACAACATTCTGCTGGAAGATGAGTCTGTATCCACTATTGCTCTTCTTGAAGACGAAGAACGTCCCCGTGTAGTCGCTGTCGAAGTTTTTGTGGATGTAGAAGCAGACCTGGAGTAGCCGTCCAGACACCAGGGGAAACGCGTCGTTGATGAACAGCGCGTTGCCCCCCTCATCATAGTACTGTATCCCACGCGTGGAGGAGGAGAAGCCGATTGACGTCGTGTGGGACAAGGCTGGATGGGAGGGAGAGTGTGTGTTAGAGGCGGGGACAAGTTGAGTTGAGGGCAAAGCAAACAGGGGGGTGGCAAAGGAAAGGGGGACGGGCAAAGGAAAGCGTGGTGAGCGTGTGCTGGAATAGGCTAAGAACAGGAAGAGTGAGGCGAAAGGCTCATGCGGGACATGGCTTGGGGAAAGAAGAGTGACTTGGTCAGTCCCAGACGAATTCGGGGATTCATACGTCAGTGGTAAAAACATAACTGTATCCCCCCCAAGACTTCATAAAATGTCATTTGTTTTCTTTTCAAAACCTAATTTCTTGCATTTAGACATTCAGGTTCGGTTAAACATGCCAACACATAATATAACACAAAACAAAAGAAAGTTTGAAAGTGAGAATGACTTATTTCAAATTTCGTTTAATGTAGGATTCATAGTTTGTATGTTTGAATCGCATGTTAAATGCGTCATTCGAGTGCAAAATCCGATGGAATGATTGAAAAAGATTAAAAATAATGAAAAATAATGTATTTGTTGATAAAAAGGGCATATTCCACGATTGTTTTCTGCAATTCTGCGGTAAGTCACATTTTCGGAAAATTGTTCCGCGATCGCGACGGAAACGTATAATTCATCTGGGACTGCTTTAACAAGGCAAGTGGAGAAAATGAGTGCGAGATGCTATGAGGATAAGAGATGAAGAAAGGCTTGTGTGAGAGAAGGCTAGTGTATTGGGTGTGGTTAAGGGTACAGGAAGGGGTTGTCTTAGGGGTTTGGGTTGAGGTCTAGTGTGTTTGGGTAAATGTTATCACAATGCACTAAGGTCTTGTTCAAAATCGAAATGAAATCTCGCATTAAATATATTTCAAACACGTCTACTCTGAATTGACACGCTTGAAACAACGGAATCTTAAGATCGCTTACCCTCTACAGTGTCTACCATGACAACTGCGACTGCCAGCACCGTCACACACGCCGTGGTCAAGTGTAGTCTACACGTCATCCTCCCGCTGGGAATAGAACTACGACAGTCAAAGAGGTTTTCTGAGTAGTCATATATACTCGACGCCAAAAGAAACGCGAACCACAGAATGAGTGAGTATGGTTTTACGCCGCTGTGAGCCATATTCCAGCAATATCAAGGCGGGGAACACCAGAAATGGACTTCACACATTGTACCCATGTGGGAATCGGCGTAACGAGCGAACGCTTTAACCACTAGGCTACCCTACCGCCCCCGCACCATAGAAACATACAGAGAAGTATGTACTTTAACGAGAGATGTTTCCAATGTGTACCACTTAATGACCAAGCTAACAGTCAGTCAAGTGTTACTACAGTGACTTTATTCTTAGCACGATAACTTGCACGTGATTTCTAAACTTTACATGCTAATCATGCAAGACAAATGGTGCATCTCGAGCCATGGGTCTTTGAGATCGCATTGTGATGTATATCCTTCCAATCAGAAGCATACAAGCTATATGTCAACGAAATGGCCAATGGCATACTTTAAAGTTATTAATAAGCATTTCGTGAAATAAATCACGTTTGGAACAGCAAGGCAACGATGTCGCAGATGTGGATGTATGATTTTGGCTTTTCATGTACAGTAAAGACAAGATATTTTATGGAGGACACCTTCTTTTTTCTATAATGATGCGACTGCTTGACAACAGTATAAGGATCTGTTGCCTTTACTGTTAATTTCCAACTTCTGATAATGCCAATCAAACAGTTCAAGGACAGGTACACAATGCTACCCAAGTCATACAGTGACTTGCCCGAGGGAACAGCTAACGAGTAAAGTGTCTGAAAACCACCCTGGATCCGCCAGTGGTGTCGCATTTTCATGCCGTTTCGTCCGATGCACGGAAATACATGACTCGGATATATTTCTATATTAGACGCCGATCGGTGATATAACACTGGAATATATACCTATCTAGACTCTGTATATACTTTAGTCGACGTGTTATACGTTATGTGGGGTTCTGCCAGACATGAATACTGTATCATTAATTTCATTCTCATGGGGAGCATGTCTTCGAAAATGGCTTGTCATATGAGGCAAAGTAAGGCTTTAGTGGTGGGTGTCACTGTAGCTGATGGAGGGGTCATTCACAAGGGCGGATCCAGCAATTTTAAAAGGGAGGGTTCAAAAATATCAACATACAACATACTATATTTGGTTTTCAAAGGGGGGGGGGGGGGGGGGTCCACCTCTTCCCCCTCCTAGATCAGCCTATGGTTCATCGTGTTTATACAGCATCTGGTTTGCCAAGGCTGGCGTTAACGAACGTGATCCCATCTGACAGTACATGTGGACTGACGTCTGGCTGACACTGTTTCTCGGATCGGGGAATGAGAGTTGGGAGGGTGTTCAAACGGTGCTCACAATCCAACCATGTCTCTCTTTTATTACTTGTTTTTCAATATTTATAAGGTGATACACAATCCTCAGCGCCAATGCAATCGTAACTCCCATACTTTAACATAGACTCACGACATTCGTAGCGCTAAGATCGCTTTGAGGAACGGGACCCATGCGCATTGTTGATGTCGAGTGGCACTGACAACCACGAAAGCACAAACAACGAAACCCGGGGACTATTGAACCAACTAACGACACCATTGCGGAACATGTGAATATATGACATGTTATCACTGTAACACTGTAATATGATAAAAACAGACATTACCTTTGCCTGGCTTGATGGCGACACATGAGTCACAACGCGCGTCAAGTCTCGGATTGTCTCGTCACGTGAGCTCGTGCACAGCACGGGCACTGACAATGCGTGCGTGTTAAGGTAGACATGAGCATGTGGTTTATTTCAAACATGACATTTCTTCAAAGCATCAGCCTTTTAAACATATCTTATTATGTAATTATCGTACACTCACTTAAATGATTAACATAGCGATAAAACTTAACAGTTTGGTCGGATTTGTATTAAAATGTATTCGGAAGTTTGTGAAAAGTTACAAATATCTCACACTTACTGTATTGTTTTGTGAGGAATTATTTTCTTAATATTTCAAAATTAAAAATGGGTATGTGGACAGATTATGTTGTTTTCAAAGATTTTCGTCTTTTTTATTACCTATTACTTGTCAATCACAGTGGGGTGGACTAGCATATATATATATATATATATATATATATATATATATATATATATATATATATATATACATATATATATATACATATATACATACACATACATATATATATATATATATATATATATATATATATATATATATACATACATATATTCAATGAAAAACTTTATTACGTACAAAATGCCAATGTCATTTTTTACTTCCTATTTCTTTCTCGACACGATTCTCTATGATAAGCCACGTATTAAAATACCCGTCCGTATTTTAGCCAGTATTTTCCCAAATGTGATATAACTGGAAAATATCACTATCTAGACTATCTTTTCACCTGGACTGTTTCTGATTACATCAAATGCAGATATAGCTCAGTCAGAGTGAAGGAATACAAGACATATTGAAATAAGATGCTGACAAAGTCATGCTGTAATAGAGATGTATCATCCCAAACTGGCCCCCGAAGGAGATATCGCTAGGGTGAGATCAAACACAAGGAGATATCACTGCAATGAAATTGCATCAAAATAAGCTTTGCAGGTCATTGTAACGTCATAGATTACCGTCACAATCAAATGACATCACAAACCTCTGTGCAACTGAAGCTGCTTAGTCGTACCTTTTTACACTCAAGGGGGCGGTCGGTTAGCCTTGTGGTTAAAGCGTTCGCTCGCCGAAGACCCGGGCTCGATTCCTGACATAGGTACAATGTGTAAAGCCTATTTATGGTGATATTGCTTTAATATTGCTAAAAGCGGCGTAATTCCAAACAATTAAGATTGAATTTTACACTCGAGACAAGATACTAGTTATTGCTGTTTACAAACTGAAAAGGTTGGAAGAATAATTTCTGATGATAAATCGAATCTTACCCTCGTGTTTTTTAGATCAGATATTTCAACAGTCGTCGATAAAAGTTTTAAACCCCAAGGAAAGCCCGCAGTTTTAAACTTGTATCGACTCGTGTTGGTATCTTTGATATCATAAGACACGAGGGTGTGATTCTCTATATACTCACAGGAATCGCACAATTTCAGGGATGACATTTTCTTCCACAAACATAGGCATTATACCGCCTGACAAGTGGTATGTTGTGCACAGACATTAATAAAACCATATAGTCCATTCTATACTCCCCATGGGGCTGAGAATGAAAATCGAGTGCACTCCAATCCATTGACGGGGATAATAATAATATCCCTGTGTGGTGTGGAAATACAGCGTCATACTAATAGACGTTAAAAGATGGTACTTGTTGTTACCCTGTCTGGCGATCCGGCATTAAGGGGCTGACACAAGGACTGGTCGGCCCGGAGTCAGTATACTGTGTCTGAGTGGGGTATTCATGTTAAACTGCGGTATGGTATCTCAGTGTGCTAGCACTATAAATCGGCATAAGTGCGGACAGGTGCAAGCACACACACACACACACAAACACACACACACACAATAATCTTGGTTGGACGCTACAACTGTATGTCGTGTGTGCCAACGTGTGTCATTGTGCCCGAATGGAATGGTGCTTGCCGTAAAAGGTGACTGTGCTTGTCGTAAAAGGCTACTAACGGGATCGGGTTGGCAGGCTCGCTGACTTAGTTGATGCATGTCATCGATCCCAATTGGGTGGATCGATGCTCATGATATCAATCACTGGATTGTCTGGTCCAGACTCGATTATTTACAGACCGCCGTCATATAGCTGGAATATTGCTGAGTGCGGCATTAAACAACAAACCAACCAACCAAACGAATGGGATGAACAATTGCCCTTGCAGACCGCCGCCTTCCTGGTATTTGCAGCATCAGGTGCGACTCTATGACAAACAATCAGCCATCAATATGCATCGGCTCTGGACACTGGGAGCTATTCTGACCCCCGATGCCTACTTGGGTCTGTGCTTGTGGCAAGTGCGTTACGACTTAATATATAATGTGTCAGTAAGGCGTTCATATTTAAAATCATAATTTGAAAGGCGACTAACAGGATTAGGTGGTCAGGATCGCTGACTTGGTTGATGCATGTCATCGTATCCCATCTAGGTAGATCGATGTTCATGATGTTTGTCACTGTATTGTCTGGTCCAGACTCGGTTATTCAGAGACCGCCGTCATGTAGCTGGAATATATCTGAGTGGGGTGTTAAACAACAAACAAACAAACATAAGGATGTATTTATGAATCACTATCAAATAATGATGACACAAGCGTGTATCCTGTCCCACCGATGGCACCCGCCATAAACAGTCGCGTTACATGCCATAACAAATGTGGGACATCTATCAATTAATAAATTATTCGCCGACAAATGTGTTTTCAGTGATCCATTCATATAATTTTTCACCGCTATTTTGCCTTTGTAGCCCAAAGGCATCTGTTTCGGCGGATAGTCGAGACTGGTTAGTCCCTAGCTTTGACGTTTTATATTATGATTATAGAAATGAGTTTTATGTCGTGTTATTTACCAGTATTTTGATGCATATTACACGTACTTGGAAGTGAACGTGAAGAACAAGAACGTACTCATTTTCACGACCTGACCGTATCATGGAGACGCACGGTTTCGCACTATCCGACATCATAAAGTGCTTTAAGTTTAAGTGCTCCCGGTAGGGTCATCTTCCCGAGGCAAGGGAGTTAGCTGACTATAAAAGTCCAGTTTCCACCCTTGGGCTAGAATTTCCAGGCTCAATCGTGTCGTCACCAGTGGGCATTACGAGTTATATCCCTTCTATGTCCCTCCTATTAACCAATCAGATTCCACCTCTCATATCGCATGCATTGGCTTCAAACGAAATGGCGGCGCCCGGTCAAGACGATCTGATTGATAATCAAGATCTATATTATAATAAAACGGGTCTTACTTCGCGAAGTGCGTCAAATCACT